TTTCACAGAATATACTGCCTGTGGTGTGCCTGTGTGTATTTTGTGTATGATGCCACAGCAAATTCCCACAAACAGCCATGACTAGTTTTAATTTGGGGATTGCTGGCCACTCCATCAGGAAAAATTCCATTTTTTTTGATTAGTGCCATGTGATTGTTAACTTCAACCTGAACAGACAAAAACAGGACCATGGTTTAACGTCTCATCCAAAGAATGGCATCTCTGACAACACAGCACACCCCCAGGCCTGCGTTGCAGTGTCAGTGTAACCTTATGGGTTCTAAGTCCCAGCATGGGGCTTGAACAAGAAATCTTCTGACTTAGAGGCAAGAGAGTTACCAACTGAGCCAAACTGACCCAGAGGCTGTTTAGCAAGCAAATGGAAAGATTATACAGTATTATAGCTCAATATCTGTACCATGTTTAGAACATCTGATCTTTCAGTAAGACCAGAAATGTGCAGTGTCCACATTAGAGTTTAAATGAAGGATTGATAAAAAGCAACAAAATTCAATAAGGCAAGGATTTATTTTTATTATTATTTTTATTCAGTGTTGTGCCTTCACAACTTATAATGAGATTTGGACCACACATCCATTCATTCTTCTGATTCTGGCATCAAAGCTGTGCATGTCAGCCTGGCTCGAGTGGTAGAACTCTCGTCTCTGAATCAGAGGTTGTGACTTCAAGCCACACATCTGGATATGGAACTCTTATAGTCTGTACAATTCAGTACAGTGCTGAGGTGTACTGCAGTGTTGGAGGTTCTGACCTTCAGATGAGATGTTAAACTGTCTGTTGAGGTGGATGTTGAAGATCCAGTGGCACGATTCAAAAGAAAAAGGGTGTACTTCTCATTGTTCTGGCCAATAATCCCCCAGATAAAACTGTTCATTCACTTCATGGCTATTTGCAGGATATTGCTGTGTGCAAATTAGCTGCCATGTTTTTTTTACAGTATACCCCGTGAAGGGCATTGAAACATCCTTCAGCCGTGAAAGTTACTAGAGCAAATGCAAAGATTATTTTATTGTTAAAACCTGATATATTTATTTCTCTTGCCATCTGGTATAAAAAATGTTTGTGATGTTGTCTCCTACCAACAATCAAATGTAAGCTGTAGACTGGGTGGTATGAGAAACCAAAATCCTCCCCACCACCGAACGAATCGACTTCAAGATCTTCACATTCGTGTTCAAATCCATTTACTCTCTGGCACCTCCCTACTTCTCCGACCTCCTCACTCCCCAATCCACCACTCGGTGCCACCGCTCGACTGGCACCGGCCTCCTGCTCGTCCCTCGCACCTTCCACCCCAACATCGGAGATCGTGCTTTCAGCCACTACGCCCCAAAACTCTGGAACACTCTCCCTCAATTCCTCCGCCTTATCCCCTCTCTCCCTTCTTTCAAGTCCTGCCTGAAAACTTTCCTCTCCGACCCTGCTTACGGCTACCTACCCCCTGCCCTGGCTCAGAGTTGAGCTCTGCCACTGTTAAGTGCTCTGAGGTGCCACCTTGTATGGAGGGCGTTATATAAGTGCAAATTGTTGTTGTTCTACAGCAGTTCTCCTGTAAAATGATGGTAGGAATAATAGAGCATCAGAAACCTGACAGGGAACCGATTTTCTAGGCTCGCACATATCAACGGACATCTTGAGGAACTGGCATCTATCAATTGCATGAGCATAGTATAGGTACAGACAGTTGCTACTTATCTTAGCAACAATTCTATGCCAAGTGGAGGCTTCTCTATCCCCAGCAGTTCCATAGTTGGCTCAACATGGCATATTTAACAGTGGACGCAATCAACTGAGCCAGCAGAACATGAGGATACAGATTTGGAGTAGTAAAGGGCAATTTCAGGAAAGGCACCAGGACGTATTTCAATACCCGGAGGGTAATTAACGACTGGAACAGATTAACAGAGAGGTTGATTGAGGACTGTGGATTCATTTAAAAAAAAGCTTGATGCTGTGATCCAATGACTGTGGGGTGAGTATTGTGGAAGGATGAGGTCAAACAGAGTGAACAGCTTTGTTCATCCAAACCTCTCTTGTGATCCTGTGACCATGTTGCTCTCTCATGGCTGGAAAGCGATTTGGATTTTATTTAGTCTGATAGTGACCTCAGGTGGTCATGTTAAAAGCTGCACTGTACTTCAATTTTATGGTACTGTATTGGAAACGGTTATTGGGTAGACATGTCCTTTTGAGATATAAATTATTTGATTCTACGGCAATCAGAAATATAATCAGATTTTTAAAAAAATTGGCTTCCTGGTCAGGCACAACAGACAAGAGGAGACTTATTTAGAACATAAGAACATAAGAATTTGCTAGGCGAAAGAAGACCAAGGTCCATCTAGTTCGCCTTCCAACCAGCCTGGTAGTCGCTTGACATGTCGTATCTGCATCTCGAGATATTATTTTCTAGCAGAAATCTATCTAATTTGTGCTTGAAACAAACAACACTTTCTACTTCCACGATCTCCCGAGGGAGTCAGTTCCATAAGTTTACTACTTGCTCACTGAAGTAGTGTCTCCGCAGATTTGTTCTGAATTTATCCCCATTCAATCATAGGCCGTGTCCTCTGGTTCTGCTATTCAGTACAAGATAAAACAGTGTTTCATGATCTACATTATCTAGTCCCTTCAGAATCTTTAAAGACTGCAATCATACCGCCCTCAACCTTCTCTTCTCCAGCGTGAAGATGCCCAGTATATCGAATTGCTCCCCGTAGTCCAGCCTCTCCATCCACTCAATCATTTGGAGTCCTGTAAGTCAGTAGTTAAAGCGCTTGCCTGGCAAATGAGAGATGTGGATTTGATTCCGGGCAAAACGTTGGGCAAGTTGCCTTACTCCACACGACTCTGTTCACCTAGCAGTAAGTAGGAACCCAGTTGTTTTTCGATTGGCGGATTGGTTTTACGGGGATAATAATCCCTTCAAAAAAAAAAAAATTTGGTCACTCAATCCACACCTGTTTGTGGGACACTGCTGTGCACAATTGGCTGCTGCATTTCGCCCATAAAACAGTCAATTCACTTTACAGTATATTCTGTGAAGCGCTTTGAGACGTCTTGAAGATGTGATAAGGTGCTATATCAAATGCAAGGATTATTATTATTTTATAGTTACAATCCTATGAGTGTGCTCTCTTTATACCACTTGGGATTGAAGAAAATAAAATAGTCCATGAATTAAATTTTAGTCAGCTATTTAATATTTATTAATATAAAATACATCAGTCTGGTTCAATTGTACTCTCACCTCTGAGTCAGAAGGTTGTGGGCTCATAATAATAATCATCACGTTACAATCTTATGAGTGTGCTCTCTTTATATAATATGTGATTGAAGGAAATAAATAATCCATGAAATGAATTTAGCTCAACTATTTATTATTTATTAACATAACATATGTCAGCCTGTTTCGATAACACTCTCACCTCTGAGTCAGAAGGTTGTGGGTTCAATAATAATTATAATCCTTGTATTTGTTATAGTGGCTAATTATGTCGTCAAGACATCTCAATGCGATAGACAGGATATACTGTGACTGTGTATTTTGTGGGCAAATCGCAGCAGACAGTTTGCACACAGCAGTTTTATTTGGGGGATTGTTGGCCAGGACACTGTGAGGAACCCCCACTCCCCCCCACCGCATGCCCCCTCCCCACCCCCTTCTCTTTTCCTTAGCTGCAATTTTCCCTTCATCTCCCTGTGGACTCCTCGTGGAGTCCTGTTTCTCAGTGGTTAGAGCACTCGCTTTGCAAGCGAGAGACCTGAGTTCAATTCCAGGCAGAGCGAAACCTTGGGCAAGTTTCCTTACTCCACACAGAGCCTAATAATAATCCCTCCAAAACAAAACAATAATAAATTGGTCATTTTCAATCCACGACTGTTTGTGGGTCATTGCTGTGCGCAATTGGCTGCCGCGTTTGCCCACAAATATACAGTCAATTTACTTTACACCATATTCTGTGAAGTGGTTTGAGGCGTCTAGAAGACGTGAAAAGCGCTATATCGAATGCAAGGATTATTATAATTATTATTATGCATTCATTGATTAATTTTATTCATTAATTTTCCTTTATTTCTCAATGGAACATTTGCCATTTTTTGCCTCCGGTCGACCTCGCACAATTCATTCCATTATAATTAGCTTTCCCGTACCCCCACCCCCCGCTCCCCTCTCCCCCTCCCCTCCCCGCCCGCTCCCTCCCTATCTGGGAATATTTCTCAAATCAATCTTGTGACGTTTGTGACCTTCTCTGGGGATAGACCCCTCTTTGTTCAATGACCTTCTCTGGCGATCGCTCATAGGTCCTTTGACCTTCTCTGAGGATCGCTCTCTCTCTCTCTCGCTTTCCGTTCAATGACCTTCTCTAAAAATCTCGGAGACGTGATAAGCCGCTACATCAAACGCACAGATTATCATCATCTTCATCATCATCATCGTCATCATCTCTCATTAAATTCAACGAGCTTCTCCAGAGATCCATCCGGTCTCTGCTCAATGACCTTCTCTGGAGAGAGCTCGTGCCCCCAAACCGACCGCCATCTTGATGCGAGCATCACCGCCGGGAGTCGTCCGCGTGCCCACGGGCCCCGCTCAGCGGCTCAGGCCGGCGCCAGAAAGCAATCGGTCCACGTTGCTCCGTTCCCACACGGGACCCAAAAAAATAACACGGTCACTCCGCGGCACGGACGGCAGTTCACGTCCTCTTTGTAGCCCAAGCCGACCCAATTAGTAGCCCCAAAAGTAGCCCGACATTAAAAAAAACACCGCCTAAAGTTGCTTTGCCCCCCCGCACAACAAAAACCCGCCCAATTGGGCGTGAACCCGCCCAATCCGGCGCCGACGTTCATCGCTCGGGGTAAACCTAATTTAGTTGAAGCACGAGCCCCAGCCCCGCCCCTCCGACTGCGCCATGATTGGTCCGCTCGGCCGCCGCTCAGGGTGACGTGACGAGGTTAGGTTGACCCGAGCGGCAGCGATGGCGGCGCGCGGCCAGTGGCCGTTGCAGCTCGCGGCGCGTTTGAAACGCCGACCGTTCGTCGGAGGCCGGGAGGCGGCGCGGCTCGTGAGCGACAGCGCGGCCCAGGCCCCTCGGCAGCCGCCTGTCGCTGACGGCGCCGCCGCCGTCGCCAAATACCCGCCGCTCGTGCCTTCCAGAACAGCCAAAAGCAAGTCGGCCAAGAGGCGGAGGCAGGAGGAGTACTATGACAAGGTTCACGCCGCCCCTTCGGCCGTTGAGAAGATCCGACTCCTGACCGCATTCCAGAGGCTCAAGTATGTCGTGTATCCCCAGACGTTTGCGATCAACGGTGACCGGTGGTACCAGCACTTCACCAAGACCGCCTTCGTCCCGGGCCTGCCCCCGGCTCTCGCCCCCAGCCCGGCCGAGGGCGACAGCGGCAGCGCTGGCCCGGACCTGAGTCGCCTCAAGTCGCTGGTCTGTCACGCCATCCTGCAGGAGCGCTTCTACCTGAAGAAGAGGCAGCCGTTTGTGTTCAAGCAGAGGGCGCAGTCGGCGCTGCCTTTCCTCAGGAACCTGGTGTCCACCCTCAGCAGCACTCTGACCCCCCACAACCCGCTGCTCGGGGTCGGCACTCTGGGTAAGGACCAGGGTTTGCCCCAGAAAGTCAAAAGCACCGCGTGAGGCCCAGAGTCAACCGGATACTCGCCCCCGAAGTAGCCCAATATTACGCGTGGCCTCCCGTGGGCAGCACTTTTAGTCAATTTAGGTCAGTGCTTTTGAAAATGCGTAAGAAAGGGGTCTTCAGAGGGGCACAAAAATAGCCCATCCGCCCAAAGTTGTGCTTTCAAGCACAGTGGAACATAAAAACCGCCCAATCTGACAACGTTTGGAGGGGACCATCTGACTGACACTCCCCGACTGCAATGTCAAACATCAGCGACAATGCAGTACCCCATGTCCTTGCCATCACCTCTCTCTCTCCCCCACCCACCACCCACCACCCACATAAAGTTGATCATTCGCGTCGTAGCTGTATGTGGAACAATGTTGTGAGCAAAGTGCCTAAAGGTGCCATCGCTGCACTTAACAGTAAATCCCATGAAGCACTTTTGAGATGTCCTGATGTGAAAGTTGCTGTGGCCAATGCAAGTGACTGTTATACAGTCATACCAAATACTATAATACTCCCTTCTGTTCGAACAATGCCATGACATCTTTAAAGTCCAGCTGAGCGGAGTCGCACGCTCTAGTTCAGTGTCTCATCCGAAAGATGGCAGCTCCAAAAATGCAGCACTTCCTCCCCGAGGCCCCGTCTGCCTGTTCACATTACAAATCCCATGGCGCTGTTTCAAAAGAGTGAATTTCCCCTGGTGTCCTGGCCAGCAAGTCCCCAAATAAAAGTTGATAATTCACTTCGTGGCTGTTTGTGGAGCACAACAATAATAACAAAAATTGCATTTGTATAGCGCCTTTCACATCGAGAGGATGTCCCAAGGCACTTCTGCTCTGCACAAATGCCACGCTGGTCCACAAAACATAGTCATTCCACTTTACAATATATATCCCATGAAGCACTCTGGGATGTTCTCCAGATGTGAAAGGCACTACACCACATCAAGTGCAAGGATTATTATTATTATTACTACAATTCACACTAGCATAAAATTCCAGTTGAAAGACATCGAACTAAAGCATTTCATATTAATCTCTGAACTGTAATACAGTATTTGTCATGTAAATTATTTTTTAACTGTCTTTGCAAACTGAGGTGGACTAATATTCAAGAAGAGCCAGATGCAACTGAAAGATTTCTTGTGTTTGAGAAATTGTTTCCCTGTTTTTCAGATTTTGAACCAGAAGTGGGCTTTTACTGGCTGCGTGGGGAACGAACTGTCCCTCGAGGGCATAGAGGTGGGAGAGTAGACCCGATTCGCTTCCAGATTGATGACAAACCTCACTGTCAAATTCGAATTCCCAAACCGCTCCCAGAGGTAATGATTTCAATTAAGCCATCTTAAGAACTTCATACAAAATTACAGTGAGAAACTATAATTGAGGTGTAACAATTCTCTTCAACCGTGCCTTCAGCTCCCCTCTCGACTCTACCCCCTCCTCGCTCCCTCCCTTCCCTCCCCTCACCCTGACCATTTCCTCACTGCTCGGGTCCTGCGCCTTGGTACGTCCTCCCGACGTGAAAGGCGCTCTATAAATGAAATGTTGTTGTTGTTGTTTGGGTTCCAACCATAATAAACAATTTCTGGGCAATGGTTAGTGATGCCCATATTTAATTGTTAATATGATGATGCTTTCATGAAGCTTTCTTCAGGAACTGTAAATGTTAGAACAAATTAATAACCAGTAAGGGAAATGGAAGCAGTTGTAAACATCACAGTTTCTTCTGTTTGTTAATCTCGACCATGCTTTGAAGGGGTTGCTGAGGAGATGGAGTGTAACCTGCTCAAAGTTCTGCTGAAAATGTGCCATGTTAGCTGACCAGTTTTAATTTGTTTGGGCAGCCTTCAGAATATGTTTATTTTAAGAAATAATGACTCCAATATTGTGTATCTTAGTTCTAAATCAACACATCTATTCGTGACTTGTTTTAACATTTGGTATCTGCACAAGAGCATAAGATAGATGAACCTTTCGTCTCATGTTCTTGTGAGTTTTTTATATGAATGTTTAATTTTCTGTGTAGTTTGCATGTTCTTTGGTTAATGGCGATTTGTAGGACATTGCTGTGTGAAATTGGCCACTATGGTTACCTACAAAATACATAGTCACTACACTTTGCAGCAAATCCTGTGAAGATTTTTGAGACGTCCTTGTGTGAAAAGTGCTATTTTTGGCAGGGCAAAACATTGGGCTCCTTACTCCACATGCCTCTGCTTACCTAGCAGTAAGTAGGAACCTGGATGGTAGTTGATTTGTGGATCGTTTTTCCGGGGATAATAATCCCTTCAAAAAAGGAAATAAATAAGAATTTGGTCATTCAATCCACGATTGTTTGTGGGCCACTGCTGTGTGCAATTGGCTGTTGTGTTTCGCACACAAAATATACAGTCAATTCAATTTACAGTATATTCTGTGACGTGCTTTGAAACGTCTAGAAGATGCGAAAGCGCTATATCAAATGCAAGGATTATTATTCTATTATTCATTATTATCTTCTGGGTTGTCAGGTTGCTGTTGAAGTTGCTTTCTGAAGACTAGCTACAGAAAGCGTTACTGGTGTTATTTCCTGGGCACCAAAAATGCTATTGTGCCTCCTCATAATATGGGTTTGAGATATTGGACCTACATAACTAGGTTATAACAGAATTATCCTCTGTTGAGCAATAAAATATGAACATACAAATTATTGCCTTCTGGAAAAAAAATCTTTCATCTTTGAAGATTTCTATCCCTTAAGCCTTTGTGTACACTGGGATAACTAGATGGTTAATATCAAATGTTTAATTGACTTTTAAAGTGGTGTGCATTATTGAGTTCTGAAATGCTAATTTGAAATGTGCCTTGCTTGTTTGTTTATTTATTAATAATAAAGCTCATTATTCTCATTTTTTTCAGTTTATGCCCCTAGAAGATTCTGTCTCTCAAGAGGTTCCTGTCATTCACCTTGAACCAGACCGGCTTCCATTGTTTCAACGGCAGTATAACAATAACATTTTCATAGGTAGGAGAATAAGAATCTCAAACTGCTATATTATTGATTTATTGATTTTCCATATTTAAATGTACATCCTTTCATGAAGAAAATAAAACTGAATATTTTACAGAACTCTTGCAGTACAGCACCATAGCACAATTGCAGATATTTATTAAGGGGAAGGTGGTGTACAGAATTCTGAATTGAATACAGTAAAGAGCCAATTATCTGCAAAAATTGCGACTAGCCCCTTTGGGTAAACAAACAATGTGGATAATTGGGCATCATACAAAAGACAAATTAGCTACGGCAAGGATTAAGGATTGTTCCATCAAGAATTATATCGTTAATCTATTTTCGGGTGTGTTTTTCTCTCATTCTCTTTCTGTTTATCTAACTTTCTATCTTTCTCTCTGTATATAATATATCTAACAGTAAAACTCACACAAGTATGATCTGTATAAATCAAAGTCGTACATCTGCCCAAGTCCCATTCAAGAGTTTATATTCTATCCAAGTTTGACATAACATATACTTTGCATAAGTCATATTAAATGTATGGTCCCAATTGATACAACTTGTGAGGTTTACTGTATAAATAATTACTCTTGGTATCGGCCAAAAGACACTATTTGTACATCTGAAAGTGCATGTGAGGTAGTTAATAATCCGTAGTTAGCATTAGTGTCTTTATGAATAAATGCGCAACTTTGCACGTTGTCCACAATAGTATTTTTGACGGTATTATAGGCAATGTCCGTTTTCGGGTCTTTAATGTAGCCTGTACATTATCATTTAGTTCAACAGTAATATGTTTTATGTCCTTATTTTTTACTCCTTAGGTTCAAAAGTTGCTGATCCTTGCTGCTATGGACACACCCAGTTTCACTTTGCTTCTGAAATATTGAGACGAGAAAGACTGATAAAAGCCAACCTGGCTGACCAGATTGAAGTCCGTTTGCGAGCCAATGGCATTGCTAGCCTGTTTGCTTGGACTGGAGCACAGGCTGCATATCAAGGTTAGATTGAGAGAATGTAGAACATACATAATGGAGCATAGTCCACAATAATCTCTTTGCTTGAATGAAAACAATTAAAATGTCAATTTGCTGGTAAAAAAGGGTTTTTATGGCATCTAAAATTTCCAAAATTTACACTATTGTAAATTGTTGCCTCTAACTCAAATCTCTAAAATTTGCTTAGGTTTTGGTAAATTTACACGTGAACTGATATAGTTAGTGTTCAAGGACTGTATTTAAAACTATTCAGTACAACTACTGAAATTGGAAAGTTTTTGGGTTGAATTTGGAGGAGAGAAATGTGCCCTTTCTGTCTTTCTATTTATTCTTTCCTCATTCTAATTTCCTTTTGTCACCTTCTCCATTTGCATTCTGGTTAGTCACTAATTTTGGTTCATTTCTTTTGTCATTTCTAATTTTTTCTCGTACTGCCCTTGACTTTGTGCTGTTCATGTATTGCCAGAAGTGCAATTTGATCTTCAACAGTAGACTATTCAGTGTCTGTCAGATGTAGTAATTTTCTTTAATTCAGCCACTGAAGAGAATTCAACAGTGCCACTGCAGTACTGTACAAGAAATTTAATAGAATGTTACCAACATAGAAACATGTCATTTTGCCCATCAGGACTAAACTAGTATCTTTGTTCACATGAGCTATCTAATCAATTTTTGCTGTTCTGATCACACACCATTCTCTTTTGCATCCCTCTTTTTCAAGCTATTTATCTAATTCCTTTATAAAGTAATTTTTGAACGCTGCTTTGCATGCCGCTGCAATTTTCTTCCTGTACGTAAAATCATTCTAAATCCTTTATATTATCTTAATTGAATCTTGTAAACTAACGTGTTTATATTTAATCCTTTTGATTTTTCCGAAGTTCACTGTCATTTTGTTGTATCCCTTTAATGACGGTACCACAGTCTTTGTGATAGAAACATGAGCTAGTTTTTTTGGAGGGATTATTATTAGGCTCTGTGTGGAGTAAGGAAACTTGCCTAAGGTTTCGCCCTCTGCCTGGAATTGAACTCGGGTCTCTCGCTTGCAAAGCGAGTCTCTAACCACTGAGCTACAGGACTCCATGAAGTTTGACAAGTTTAAAAGTTTGTCTAACTTTGGTTTAAGACAGAAACTCTGGTACAAAATATTTAAATATCAGGCAAAATTGGTATTTTTTTTTACCAGTAAAGCAAATCTTACACAAGCACAGTATTTATTTATGTAACAAAGGCTGTGGTGTATGGTTATCAATACGGAGACACAAACAACAAAAATAACAGCAAACCGGATTATTGTATACAATTACTTGTTGAGCTTCCATTTCAATCCATTAATTTAAATTACTGAATGCTGAATGTGAAGCTAAAATCTTTCAGATGTTATCATTTAACTTATTTTTGTCCTTTTAGGATTCTGGAGTGAAGCGGATGTGACTCGACCGTTTGTTTCGCAAGCTGTAGTCACAGACGGAATCTATTTCTCATTCTTTTGTTATCAATTGAACACTTTGGGTTTGACTGTTAAGGCTGACCAGAATAATCATCGCAAAAATATTTGTTGGGGAACAGAGAGTATGCGGCTGTATGAGGCTGTTGAAGAAGATGATATCAAGGGATTCAATGATGAGGTTCTAAGCTTGCTTGTTCGTTTTTTACTTAATAGACCAGGATTAGTGAAAGTGAAGCAAATTGTAAATGAAACCTGAGCACTGGCAACATTATTGTAACTGAAAGACATTTTACATCTAACATGTCCTTAAATCTTTGTGAACAGCAATATATCTGTATAACCTATATCAAAGTACCTGATATTTTATAAAAAATGTTCATTATAAGATGCTTAAAATAAATTCTAAAATGAGAATTGTAACTGCACATTTTTGGCCATTACCCTCAGCTCGGGTGCCAAACCAGGAGTGTTGGGTGCCTTGAGATATCCTTCTGACGTGAAAAGCGCTATATAAATGTACATTTGTATTTTATTGTAATCTGGATATATTACTTTTTCTTGGTTGAAAGCCAATTATTTTTGAAAGATCAACTGTTCTATAATTTCTGTTTAGAATTTATTTCTATAATTTAATAATTTATACTTACAATTTATATTTCATCAAAGGCACGAGGTTCAGTTAAAATTAATCTTTCTCCTTCGCTATTGGTGAAGACTTTGTTTTGGGGTATTCACCTATTAGCCCAGTTGAGAAAGATGAAGCTTATCTTGATGAGAATAACCGATTAAGCTTTAATATATTTTGCTTTCACACATTTCACATCAACAGTACTGCGCTTTACTTCTCACATGTTGGAACATCTCAAAGCGGTTTACAGAATATAGTGTAAAGTGTCGTGACTGTGACTGGGTGAAACACAAGGTTGTTTTTAAGTTTAACTGAAGGATCTTTTTGTAGAAGCTTGGTAAGTGTATCAGTGTTCAAGTTATTAATCCTGGGTGGGTTTAGCATTCGATGCATGGGACAGATGGAAGGATATAAGGTTTTTTAATTGAAGCTCCTATCCCTGGAATTGTGGAGTCCTGTAGCTCAGTGGTTAGAGCATTTGCATCGCAAGCGAGAGACTTGGGTTCAATTCCCTGCAGGACGAAATGTTGGGCAAGTTTCTTTACTCCACATGCGTCTGTTTACCTAGAAGGAACCCTGTTGTTAGTCAATTGGCGGATCGCTTTTCCGGGGGTAATAATCCCTCTCCCCCCACCCCCAAATAATAAAACAATAATAATTTGTTCACTCAATCCACGACTGTTTGTGGAACATTGCTGTGCAATTGGATGCCACGTTTCGCGATAAAATATACAGTCAATTCACTTTACAGTATATTTTGTGAAGCATCTTGAAGAAGTGATAAGGCACTGTATGGAAATGCGAGGATTATTATAATTAAAGCTTGCCTACCTCTCGTCTATGAAATCATTACTATTAACTTTTCTGACAACCTGCAAACCGGTCTCATTATCAAATAGGGTTTCAATTTTTATACTGGTTGCATTCTGTTGAGCAATCATTATAGATTTTCTCTTTCTACAACTAAAGTTAGGAAATGGAAGTTAAATTTTCAATTAAAATATTAATTGGGTGCATTCTTAAATATAAAGTGGATTCTTAGAAATGATAATATGTATCCTTAATCGAGAAATAAATAATGAAATGAAGATTGGAAGCTTTATGAAAAATCATAGAATTTTTCAGCACTGAAGCCCATTTGATCAATGGGTTTATTGTGTTATTCTAACCAATCAATATAAAACATTGGACAATCTTACCTCTATTTACAGAAAGCCAGTTGAATTGATGTGATTTACATAGTTTTTAAAAATCTTTGACTTTTTCTTTGTCAATTTTCATGTCATACTATTGTATTTTTTTAAATTTTGGTTTATTGTGCAGTAATCTTGAATTGGTTTATTGGGGAGTTTCATTTAAAAATTCCCTGAAGTATTTGACATTTGAGAACACTGAAATTTGTGTAGCTTAATGAATTGAAGGTTTTATCAAACATCTACAGTGATGCAAGTTGTTGCTTTTTAATAGATTTTTTTATTACTCTTGGTTTACAAATGTAAATGGTGGAAATTTATAATCATGGTATTGTTAATTTAATTTGGAAAGCAGATGGGAGCAGATTATGCATTTCAAATGGATTTATTCAGGGAGAAAAACAAAGGGCACCCCAATCCCCTTAGAAAACAAGTGATTTTTGTTTCACTCTCACTATCAGTTTTCTTCGCTTTTGTATTTGACTCCTTATGGGGCAATTATATTCAGAGGCAATAATACATCACTGAAGTGGCTATTATTCCTGGTTGAGCCACTACTGTTTGCTGCAGTTGTGACTTCACCTGATTTTCACACATATGCATTTTCCAGAAGGTGGTTTTAGGCAGTGATCTGAAGCTGGAACCTTGATTAATTTTTTTTTTCCATTTTCCAGGTGACAGTATCCAGGGAAACTGAGACCAATTGTGACAACCTAACTGATGTTCTGGGTGATAGAAAATCAGGCTACTGTAAAATGTAATTAAGCAACCACTGCAGTTTCCCTGTATTTATATTTGTTACTGTGTAATCTCCCTGATTACTGAGTTAATTCTGCCAGTTTGTATTCAAGTATTTGCAAGTGAAGATGTGTGTAAACAACAAGAGCACGAATCAGAGAGAGAGAGTATCATTTATGAAATCAGTTTTTAAATAACTGCCTCAACCTTTTATATATCTTAAAGATTTAGAAGATACTCCGATTATATCTAAAATGTTGCTTTAAACTAGCACATTTTTGAACAAATACAAAAACTGAAGGGGGTAATTTACCTTTGCATTATTGCAAATTATTTGGTGAATGTAGCAAAGTAAGATGGTATTTATTGTAACACACTAAGTTATTGCATCTTTTGTTATACCTGCATACTTAGAGTGAATGATGATGCAATTGTTATGCGTAATCAATTGTATTAGAAAGTATGCCATCTCTAAAATACGTTCTTTAAGCAGTTCGGAAAAACACTTTATTTCCTGGCTGGAGGCTTACCTGTAATAGTAATAATAATAATGATAATCCTTGCAATTGATAGAGTGCCTGATGTTCTGTCAGCCTGCCTGTCAGATCTCAGGGGCTGGATGAGCGCAAATTTCCTTCAGCTGAACGTTGACAAGACGGAAGCCATAATCTTTTGCTCTCGTCAATGTCTAAAATCAACAACAACAACTTGGATTTATATCGCGACCTCCGTGCAGGACGGCGTCTCAGAGCGCATAAAATCTCACGAGCTCTCACCTCCTCCACCTACCTGACCTCCCCCTAAAACTCTCTGAACCTGTACGCAACCTAGGTATCAGGTTCTACCCCCAATTATCCTTCCTCCCCCACATCCGGTCCCTCACCAGCACCGCTTTCTTCCATTTCCGACTCATCGCCCGTCTCCACCAATATCTCTCCCCAAAAGCCGCTGAAACTGATCCATGCCTTTGTCACCTCTCGGCTGGACTATTCTAACGCCCTCCTCGCCGGTTTCCCATCCACTACCATCCATAAAATCCAGATCATTCAAAACTGCCGCCCGCATTCTCACCCGCACGAAACTCCGCTCCCCGATCACCCCAGTCCTTGTCAGACTGCACTGGCTGCCTGTCCCAGAGAGGATCGATTTCAAGATCCTCACCCTTATATTCAAGTCCCTGCACTCCTGCACCCCCCGACCTCTCTGACCTCCTCTCTCCTCAAAACAGTACCCGTTGACTTTGTTGAATGTCAACAAGACTGAGGCCCTCCTGCTTGGCTCCTGTTAGCGCCTCCATACCTCGGGGGCTGACAACATCACCCTCCAAGAATGTACTCTATACCTCAAGGAGCCAATATGGAACCTTGGCATTCTGTTTGATCCTCAACTTCCGTGCCATGACCAACTCCGCCTTTCCCCACCTCTGCGACATTGCCCGACTCCGCCACTGCCTCTCTCCGCAGGCTGCCAAGACTCTCATCCACAGATTCATCACATCCAGGGTCAACTGCGCAAACTCCCTGCTTTTTGGCCTCCCCAACTCCTCCCTCCACAGGCTGCAGATCAGCCAGAACTCTGGAGCCTGTGACAACAACAACAACAACAACAACAAGATTCCATTTATTGAGCGCCTTTCACGTCGGGAGGACGTCCCAAGGTGCTGTGACCTCTCCTGCATCAGGCTCCACAACCCCATTACCCCCATCCATGCCTAGCTCCACTGGCTCCTCATCACATACAGTTTAAGATCCTGGTCCTCGCCTTCAAAGCCCTCCACGGCCTTGCTCCTCCATACCTCTATGACCTCCTAACCCCATACCAACCCCCTACCAACCTCAGCGAGCTCTGGCCTGCTTCACGTCCCCCACCTTGCCCGCCCCTTTCAGCCTCTCTGCCCCTACCTCTGGAACTCCACCCCACAGTCCCTCCACCTCACCCCTCCCTTGCCTCCTTCAAGACTGGTCTCAAGACCGTGCCTTTGGTCATTCTCCTACACATACCCTCACCCTCCACCCCAACTGATCCCAACCACCAGCTTGGGTATGGATCCTTGACTGTCCAGCGTCTTATGACGTCCTCCTGACGTGAAAGGCTATACAAATGCAATTTGTTATCTTTGAGACGTCTCAAAGCACTTCACAGAATTTACTGTAAAGAGAATTGTATATTTTTGTGGGCGAAACGCATCTTTATGTTGATTTGTTTTTATAGGTTAGTATAAGATTGGTATGAAATAGATAAAGAGTCTCTTGCAAGGTTAAAAAAAGTGATAATTTATCCAAGATATTCCATATTTGGCACCAATTAATGGATATTCACTTTCTTACAAAAATCTGAACATCGAATTTGAGTTGTGTTGTCAAAATGTGTCAATTTTAAGTGCAAGTGACTGCAAATGCAAATAATCATAATTATCTGAGGCTGCAGAGCAGTTTAACCTTTACCGATAAGTGCCTGGTCATTTTCCAAGTTCTCATTTAGCTGTCTATCTGACAGAGAGGAATTTCATCCCACAGATCTGGGCTGATTTTGGCCAACCAGTTGAGATAATATACAAACCAAGTGCACCAATCCCATCTCCCCGGAAGTGCTATTTTATAAAAAAAAAGCTCAAGTGTCCACCCACAGCCGATTGAAAAGAAATGAGTGTAACATAAATGGTTCGCAATCGATGGAAAACTGACCCAACTCAGAGGTTAGTAGGGAGAAGCTCTGCGATGTTTGTGCATTTATACTTTTGTAGCTCTGACAACTTCATAAGTGCCATTAGCACAGATTGCATTCTTTCACAAATTAGATTGGGGCTCTTCTGTTCAGATATGATGCATTCTACAGGGTAACAAACTCAGTTGACTCAGTCCTCAATACTGTGTTGTGTTCTCTGAAACTAGGTTGAAGTGACAATCTTTATAACATTAGTGTGCTCTGAAATC